AGGCTTATTTAACTTAGAATTACAGTATCTGCCAGGTTATCTGAGGTATTCTCTTCAACTCTCTCCTCTTTTACATTGAAATCGTGTTGTTTTTTGTTTTCCTTCTGTCTTTATTTTGACCCTGACCTTCCCTAAAACCATCCCTGAGTTGTTTCCACCTCGTTTTAAGGCTTATTTAGCTTAGTTTTAGAGTATCAAACAGGTCTTCTCTGCAACTCTCTCTTCTTTTACTTTGAAAACGTGTTGTTTTTTGTTTTTCTACTGTCTTTATTCGGACCCTGACCTTCTCTGAGACCATCCCTGAGTTGTTTCCACCTCGTTTTAAGGCTTATTTAACTTAGTTTTAGAGTATCAACCAGGTTATCTGAGGTCGTCTCTTACACAGTATCCTCTTTTATTTTGAAAACATGTTGTTTTCTGTTTTCCTTCTGTCTTTATTCTGACCCTGAACTTCCCTGAGAACCTTTCTTTGGTATTTTCCCCTCGTTTAAGGCTTATTTAACTTAGTTTTAAAGTATCAACCAGGTTATCTGAGGTCTTCTCCACAACTTTCTCCTCTTTTACTTTGAAAACGTGTTGTTTTTTGTTTTCCAGCTTCCTTTATTCTGACCCTGACCTTCCCTGAGTTGTTTCCACCTCGTTTTAAGGCTTATTTAACTTAGTTGTAGAGTGTCAACCAGGTTATCTGAGGTCTTCTCTGCAACTCTCTCCTCTTTTACATTGAAAACGTGTTGTTTTTTGCAGGCCTGTACATGTTTTAGCTCCTCCCTTATGTCTTCTCTCTGTGCCTGAGTGTGCAGGCGGCCATCCAGTCCCAGCTGGACGGGGTGCGGACGGGCCTGACCCAGCTGCACAGCGCCCTGCTGGACGTCCAGGACATCCAGAGCTCTCTGGGGGACGTGAGCAAGGACTGGAGGCAGAGCATCAACACCATCGAGAGCCTGAAGGACGTGAAGGACGCCGTGGTGCAGCACAGCCAGCTGGCCTCCGCCGTGGAAAACCTGAAGAACATCTTCTCTGGTGGGTTTCACCGGCCTTTGTGTTTATATCAGAGCCGTTTTATGGAAATAACCTGTAAAAGAATGTTGTTTTTGTTGTTTCCAGCTCCAGAACCTGTAAAAGCTTTGTTAAAAAAGCTAACCTAAAAGCTAACCCTAACCCAGAACCTTTAAAATGTTGTTGTTTCCAGTTCCAGAACCTGTAAAAACGTTGTTGTTTTTGTTGTTTCTAGTCCCAGAACCTTTAAAAGCTTTGTTATTTTTGTTGTTTCTGGTTACGGAACCTGTAAAAGCTTTGTTGTTTTTGCTGTTTTCGGTCCCAGAACCTTTAAAACGTTATTGTTTTTGCTGTCTCCGGTTACAGAACCTGTAAAAACTTGTTTGTTTCCAGCTCCAGAACCTGTAAAAGCTTTGTTAAAAAAAGCTAACCTAAAAGCTAACCCTAACCCAAACCTGTAAAAACGTGGTTGTTTTTGTTGTTTCCGGTCCCAGAACCTTTTAAGTTTTGTTGTTTCCAGTCCAAGAACCTGTAAAAACGTGTTTGTTTTTGCTGTTTCCAGACCCAAAACCTTTAAAAATGTTGTTGTTTTTGTTGTTTCCAGTCCCAGAACCTGTAAAAGCTTAATTTTTTCTGCCTCCAGAGCCTCTAAAGCTTCATTTTTCAGTGTCCAGAGCGCCTAAAGCCTCCTCTCTCTGTGCCCAGAGCCTCTAAAATGTTATTTTTCTGTGTCTAAAGCCTCCTCTCTCTGTTATCCAGAGCCTCTAAAATGTTATTTTTCTGTGTCTAAAGCCTCCTCTCTCTGTTATCCAGAGCCTCTAAAGCCTCCTCTCTGTGCCCAGAGCCTCTAAAATGTTATTTTTCTGCCTCCAGAGCCTCTAAAGCTGAATTGTGTCCACTCCCAGAGCCTCTAAACCTTCCCTTCTCTGTGCCCAGTGCCTCTAAAATGTTATTTTTCTGCCCCTAAACCTTCCCTTTTCTGCCCCCAGTCCCTGAGATCGTGGCGGAGACGCAGCTTCTGATCGAGCAGGGCGAGCTGCTGCAGGCCCACAGGAAGCTTCTGGAGCTGGAGAGCTCCCGGGACGACCTCCTGTACGAGCAGTACCGCATGGACAGGAACGCCTCCGACATGAACCTCATCTCCATTTACTTCGAGGACGTGAGTCCCAGTCCGGGGGCTCTTTTCTCTCTGGGAGAATCGTGCTTAGAGAGGTTGGACAGGAGCTTTCTTACCCTGTTAGCATCCAGTTTTATGGCTTATTTAGCTTAGTTTTAGAGTACCAACCAGGTTATCTGAGGTCTTCTCTGCAACTTTCTCCTCTTTTACTTTGAAAACGTGTTGTTCTTAGTTAACTTCCTTCCATTTTCTGACCGGCTCTGAGCCTTAAAGTCTCATTTAAAGATGTTTGACAGGAGCTGAAAATGATAGCAGATCCTGGGATCCCTGGAAGGTTTGGGAGAGCCTTTTAATTAAGCCTTTATTTTAATTTAATTTAAGCCTGGCAACAGGAAACAATAGACAACGAGAGTAGCAACGCTTGTGTTTTTCTGTGAAATGTGAACTCCACATATATCAGGGTTAGGGTTAGGGTGGACAGCAGGAACACCTCCGACATGAACCTCATCTCCATCTACTTTGAGGACGTGAGTCCCAGTGCAGGGGCTCCAACTCCCCAGTTTCTGACCACCTCTGAGCCTTAAAGTCTCGTTTAGAGATGTTTGAAACAGACAGAGGATCCTGGGATCCCTGAAAGGTTTGGGAGAGCATTTTAAGCCTGGCAACGGCAAACAATACACCAGTGTTTTTCAACCTTTTTTGAGCCCAGGTACAGTTTTTCATAGAATAAATCTCGAGGCAGGAACGCCTCCGACATGAACCTCATCTCCATCTACTTTGAGGACGTGAGTTCCAGTCCGGGGGCTCTTTTCTCATTTTCCAAGTCTCCTTTAGAGAGGTTGGACAGGAGCTTTCTTACCCTGTTAGCATCCAGTTTTAAGGCTTATTTAGCTTAGTTTTAGAGTACCAACCAGGTTATCTGAGGTCCTCTCTGCAACATTCTCCTCTTTTACTTTGAAAAAGTGTTGTTCTTAGTTAACTTCCTTCCATTTTCTGACCGGCTCTGAGCCTTAAAGTCTCATTTAAAGATGTTTGACAGGAGCTGAAAATGATAGCAGATCCTGGGATCCCTGGAAGGTTTGGGAGAGCCTTTTAATTAAGCCTTTATTTTACTTTATTTTAAGCCTGGCAACAGTAAACGAGAATATTTTTCTGTCAAATGTGAACTCCACATATATCAGGGTTAGGGTTAGGGTGGACAGCAGGAATACCAGCGACATGAACCTCATCTCCATATACTTTGAGGACGTGAGTTCCAGTCCAGAGGCTCTTTTCTCTCTGGGAACTTCCCAGTTTCCGAGTCTCCTTTAGAGAAGTTGGACAGGAGCTTTCTTACCCTGTTAGCATCCAGTTTTATGGCTTATTTAGCTTAGTTTTAGAGTACCAACCAGGTTATCTGAGGTCTTCTCTTCAACATTCTCCTCTTTTACTTTGAAAAAGTGTTGTTTTTTGTTTTCCTTCTGTCTTTATTCTGACTCTGAACTTCCCTGAGACCATTCTTGAGGTGTTTTCCCCTCGTTTAAGGCTTATTTAACTTAGTTGTAGAGTAGCCCAGGGGCTCTGTGGAAGACAAACCAGGTTATCTGAGGTCCTTTCTCCAACGTTATTCTCTTTTACTTTGAAATCGTCCTGTTTTTTGTTTTCCAGCTTCCTTTATTCTGACCCTGACCTTCTCTGAGACCATTCCTGACACGTTTCCCCTCGTTTTAAGGCTAATTTAACTTATCTGAGGTCTTCTCTTACACGCTCTCCTCTTTTACTTTGAAATCGTCCTGTTTTTTGTTAACTTCCTGTCTTTATTTTGACCCTGACCTTCCCTGAAACCATTCCTGACACGTTTCCCCTGTTTTATGTCTTATTTAACTAAGCTTTAGACTAGGAGGAAGCAGCCCAGGGGCTCTGTGGAAGACCAACCAGGTTCTCTGAGGTCTTCTCTTGCACGCTCTCCTCTTTTACTTTGAAAACGAATGTTTTTTTGTTAATTTTCTGTCTTTATTCTGACCCTGACCTTCCCTGAGACCATTCCTGAGGTGTTTTCCCCTCGTTTTAAGGCTAATTTAACTTATCTGAGGTCTTCTCTTGCACGCTCTCCTCTTTTACTTTGAAAACGTGTGATGTTTTGTTCATTTTCTGTCTTTATTCTGACCCTGACCTTCTCTGAGACCCTTCCT